AAAAGTGCCAAGGTCATTTACCATTTTGCTTGTCATCGTATGGAACAACACAGTAGCTGCACTCTACAGTAAATCTTGTGAAGTGCCTTGGGACTTCCACCTGATGGCAAAATACCAAATACATAAAAAAATGCAAGATGTACCAAATGCAAGGATAATTATTTATAATTATTATTACAAACAGTATGGGCGATAAACAGCATCATGGCTCAGCCCAATTTGCACACACTGACCTCAGTTTAGTCCTGCATTTCAGAAACATTTTTCTCCCAAAAAATATAAATAACTATTGGGGACTGAAAAAGGTCCTTGTCTGGATTCTAAAGTAAGCAAGCTAAGGTACATAAACAAATTAATATTTCATCTCAAATGCTTCAATGGGATTAAGGGAACAGTAGCAGCATGGATCCGAAATTGACTGCGAGACAGGAAGGAGAGCATAGTAGTGAATCGTTGTTTGTCAGATTGAAGAAAGGTATACAATGGTGTCCCTTCAAAGGTCAATATAAAGACCACTGCTCTTTTTTTAATATAAATGAATGACCTGGACTTGGGTATAGGGAGCAAAATTTTAAAGTTCGCAGATGACACAAACACTTGGAAGCATAGTAAACAGTGAGGAGGATAGTAGCAGACTGTAGGTGGAGTAGACAGGCTGGTGAAATGGAAAGACATACGGCAGATGGAATTTAATGCAGAGAAGTGTGAAATAACCCATTTTGGGAGGAGGAATGAGGAGAGATCATATAAGACAAATGGTACAATTTTAAAGTGGGTGAAGGAACATATTGACCTCTGTTCACATACACAAATGTTTAAAAGTGGCAGGACAAGTCGAAAAAACATAAAAATGCATATGGGATCCTTCGCTTTATAAATAGAAGCATAAAGTATAAGAGCAAGAAAGTTGCTGTCCACCATCACTGACAAAGATATCTCAGATCACTATTTCACCTCCCTTACTTCTTCCATCACCCTCCCGGCCTCCCGGTGCATTTCCTATCGTGCCTGGATAAAAATTCCCCTCCATGTCCTTTTCACTGCCCTGGAGGCATCAGAACTCCTAACCCTCTGGCCCTCCTCCTGCAATGACCTAACCTCGGCCACCCTTCTAAACAACTCCCTCTCGGTCATCCTCAACACACTTGCCCCCATCATCTCCCGCACCGTCTCCTACTCACACAAGTCCCTTTGGTACAACAGCCACCTCCGCTCCCTCAGATCTCAGGTGGGCTCCACCGAACGCACCTGGCGCAAATCCAGATTAACGGTTCACCGTCAGATCTGGCAGGACTGCACCAAGTCCTACCACTCCGCCCTCGCCTCAGCTAAGTCCTCTGGTGGGTGGACCGGAAACCAGAGGATACAGATTTAAGATAGCTGGCAAAAGAATCAGAGGGGAGACAAGAATTTTTTTTACCCAGTCATTTCAGTATGGAATGCACTGCCTGAAAGGGTGGTGGAAGCAGTTTCAATAATAGCTTTCAAAAGGGAATTGGATAGGTACTTAAAAAGGAAACATTTGCTGGGCTATAGGTAAGATCGGGGGAGTGAGACTAGTTGGTAGCTCTTTCAAAGAGTCAGCACAGGGAAGATGGGCCGAATGGCCTCCTTCTATGCTGTAAGATTCTATGATTCAATGAAATACTGTCTGGAGACATACAACTGAAATAAACAACTGCTTTCACTGGAACAATTGGACAAAAGGAATGTTTTCTCTCAGGTGGTGGCCAACAATATAAATGTTCTTGATTTATACCATAAACCAAGAAAATTCAATCAAGAAAAACCTGGAAACGAACAATTCCCTGATTAATTGAACACTGACTTAACTGGACAACTGCTTCATTTAGTAGGATTCTCATTAAACTTTCTGCTGTTCTGAGGTTTTACATTGAAGATTACAGCACGGAAACAGGCCATTTGGCCCAACTTGCCTATGCTAGGGTTTATCCTCTACACCAGCCTCCACCTCTCCTGATGCCCTCTTTCTTCATGTGTGCATCAAGTTTCCTCTTAAATACCTCAATTTTTGTGGGGGGGGGGGGGTTCACCGACAGCTTTGAGCTCAGCATCAGCGTCCTTTATCCGACAATCACAGATGAGATTTTGAATCACTGATTTATCATGAAACTAATGTTGAATGTGTGAATGAACCGTATGCGTACAGCTACAATGACCACAGGTAACAGTGATGCACCATTCGGATAATCCAAAAAGGAATGGATCAGCTCAGACCAACTCCAATAAGATTAATCCACGCATTTGATAGTGCCTTATCACATCATCAAAACATTTCAAAGCGCTGCTCACGCTTTCCTGTAAATGGTGGACTGTATTTGGCAGAGAATACAGTTTCATAACTTGTGTGGTTCAGCCACTAACGAGCAGGGGGTTACAGGGTTAGTCTGTACCTTACGCTGTACAAGCACAGACTTGGATCAGCCTCCCTGCTGTCACAGCTGTACCCAACCTAGGTACACCATGTACTGGCCCTGACTGTCAAAGCTGATACTGTGCTGTCAGCGCGAGCAGCAGACAATTTCCACACAGTAACATCCCAAATTGCCATAAAGTGGGTGACAAGTTTTGTCTGCAGATTGTTGGCCAGGACACCAGGAGAGAGAAACTCCGTTCTCTTTCCAAATAGTGCCACTTTAACTTCCACCTGAACAGAAAGGGTCATGGTTTAATGTCTCATGCAAAGGATGGCACCTCCAAACAATGCTGCACACCTTATGCCGTGTCAGCCTGGACTCTGAGCTCAAAGTCCCAATATGGGGCTTATCCCCCCAATCTTCTGACTCAGAGGCGAGAGTGCTACCATCTGAAATTTGTCCAATTTAAACAAGTGTGCACAACTCCACAGTTCAGATCAGCTAGAAATGAGCAGTCTACTTTTTACTCCTTTAACCTTTTTATGTACCTTCAACAGGAAGACAATTATAACACAATCCTAGAAAGCAGAAAACAAACACAAATTTTGTTTTTAATTTTATTTTTTTAAGCTGTTTACATAGGAGTTATTCAGTATACAAACTAAGACAAATACAAAATTTTGAATGATAAATGCAGGTAGGTTAGTCCTATTCAACAGAACCATAAACGTTGAGGGTTAAGAAGAAAACTCAATTATTTTGGACGTGTAGATTACTGTATATTATGTTTAATACTGACATTATGGTCAGAGTAATGGGGCTGCAATACTATTCAGAAGATGTCACACTGAAAGAGAAGCTGAAATTTTGTGATGAATATTATGCAAGTCTCTCATCCCTGTATTTGCTATGTGCAGTTTTGGGTAAGGTTTCTATCCAGTTAGTAGTTACACTATAATAGTGAGATAATGGACATGTCACTGGCTCTTTGACATACACTGCACTATATGATCAGATAATGTTGCTGGATTTGGTGTCTCAATCACAAGAAACCCAGTCTCTTTTTGCTATCTTAGTCCTCATTACTTTTAAGCAACACATTACATAGTCTCATCATGATTTTTAAGGAATTCTACAATAATTTGATTTCCTCTTTCTCTTCCCACTTGCTATTCAGAACAAGGCAAGCAGTTCCTAGGCTCTATCTATATCAACACTTTAGTAAAGCACCAGCTTATTCACTCGGGACTGTTCCCGACCTGCAGATAAGGGTTGTGCAGCCAAAACATGGTCAACCGAGTCTGTTTTCTTACACTGCCCTCTCAAATAGAACATTACAAAACAAAATTGCACTACAATTAAGATTAAGCAGGTTAACTATACAGCTTTGGATATTGAAAATAACATGCATCTCCCACAACCCCCTCATACTCGCCAGCAATGCCGCTTTGTTACTTTTAAAAATCAAACCAGCAGCAAACACCCTGCACTAAACAGGCAAGGCACTGCCTGCCCTCATTGTAACCAAAATTATACATTGCCTCCCCTCCCTGAAGAATTAAGAAATGTTGGAAAGGAATGGCACACTCATGGTCTAAACTGCTGCACTGTTGAGCACCAGGATATGAGCTCGAGACTCCCCAGTGGCCAGATCACAGCCAAGGTTTGAGATGTCTCGAAGCACTATATCATATGCAAGGATTATTATTATTAACATTATTTAGGTGCTGGCCAAGTTATTCAGAAGCTCTCCCACACTTTACAGTAACCACACAGGCCTGATGAAAGGATGCTATCAATTGATTGTACGTAGTGTTGCTGGAGACATATATAATAATTCTTGCATTTGATATAGCGCCTTATCATGTCATTGAGACGTCTCAAAGTGCTTCACAGAATATACTGTAAAGTGGATTGACTGAATATTTTGTGGGCGAAACCCGGCAGCCAATCATGCACAGCAGTGTCCCACAAATAGTCATGGATTGAGGGAAACTATTTTTTATTATTTCTTTTTGAAAAGGGGATTATTACTCGCAGAAAGCGATTTGCCAATCGACTATCTTATGGCTAGGTTCCTACTTGCTAGGTAAACAGAGGCATGTGGAGTAAGGAAACTTGCCTAGTGTTTCGCTTCGCCTGGGAATTGAACCCTGGGAACTCTCAGTTGATGCTAGCCAACCGAGAGTGTGCTAACCACTGCACTACAGAACTCCACATGTCGTGAGCAAAGGCTTGGGAAAGGTGGAGCTGGAGGTGGGGGCGGGGGTGGTGAAGAGAAGCATTGCTCAGTTATTAAAACAGAAAGTTCATCTCCTGCATCAAATAAGACATTAACTTGCAAGTTGTGTAATACTGTAGTTAGGATCCAAGCCTCCACCATATCTATATTAGTATTTGAGCAGTAGCGTTCTGAGATATTTGACTGTGGAACTAAATAGCTGAACACTTATTCTGTGCACCATTCACTCCTCCCCAAAATGAATACTTAGAATTGGAAAGCCAAGCTAAAGGATCAGTATATTCTGAACACAGAGAAGTCTTCTTCCTTCATTTCTTGCCCTCGAGTAACACACACACACACAATTCCATATTCAACACACTGCAACCAAACAACAACAACTTGCATTTATATAACGCCCTTCGCACGGGGTAGTGTCCCGGAGCACTATGGCAACATAAAGAAATGCAGTGAAGCAAATTATATATCACTAGATTTCCAACTGTACCAAAAGCCAACTGGCTTATATGGAGAATACTGTACAGCTTTTATTTACAATTATCTTGAAGGTACATTTACGTCTTGGCCAGATAAAGTTTGATAACCAGCCAGGCTGTGGTTATTGTTGAGCACACTGAGCTTCAGCTGGGGCCTGCGACGACACGTGGATGACTGGGCTGAACTTCTGCCGTTGGAGTTTGTTTTCGCTTTTAAGCTCTTCTGTTTCTTTCTCCACAACCTTCTCCTCTGCCATTTGTAGCTTGACCTCAGCCCTGGGCAGCCTACAGGCAGAGCATTCAAACAATCTTCCATTTCACGGGATTAATCATTCAGAACAGACCAAAGCACAGAAATTTATCCAACATCAATCTCGCTCCCTCCCTCCGAATCACATATTCACAGTCACACTTCAGATGAGACTAAAGTTATAGCAAATAGCTTCAATTAAGCTTCCTGAAGGCTTTAAAATTTGAGTCCACCATAGTAATCGGATTTGTGTTGAGAAAGAAGCGAGGTCATCTTAAGTGGGGACCTAATATAAAAATCTGAACTGTACAATCTGCTCGACTGTTTCCCACTCACCACTAACAGAAATACTTTTGATAATAATAATCCCTGCATTTGATATTGTGACGTCTCAAAGTGCTTCACAGAATATACTGTAAAGTGAATTGACTGTATATTGTGGGCGAAACACGGCAGCCAATCGTGCACAGCAGTGTCCCACAAACAGTTGTGGATTCAGTGACTAAATTATTTTTTTGAAGGAATTATTACCTCTGGAAAAGCAATACGCCAATTGACTAACAAAGGAGTTCCACTTACTGCTAGGTAAACAGAGGAGTAACAAACTTGCCCAACGTTTCGCCCTGCCCGGGAATCAAACCCAGGTCATCTCACTTGCGAGGCTAGTGCTCCAACCACTACGCTACAGGACTCCACAATAATGATTCAAGTTCACACTGTGGTAGAAATCGCTTAAGGTTTATGAATTTTAGTGGATTATTCTGTGGTTACTAACATTTGTTATTGAACTGTTTCAAATGTTGGATAAATACATGAGCTGGTCAGTCTACAAAACATTAAAAAATATAACTTATAGCAATTACAAATCAATCATTTACACACACATACTACCATGCCCAAAATATATTCCAACCTCACAAAATGATTATAATTTCATGAACCAGCCTAAATCCTAAATGTAACCAGTGCTCAATTCAGCACTTGATTAAAATGCACAAATGATCTTTTGTTCCGATTGAAATATGACAAATTTAAATTGTAACTACAGTATATTAAAATAATAAAATCCTACTCCAGTACCAACATCCAGTTATTAGATTTCACTAGAATAGGAACGCTGGAAATTTAGAGCTAGATATTTGCTGCATTAAGTCTTTCACCACTGAGTCTTTCAATTGATAATGGAATCTAAATCCTATTTTCAACAAAGATTTAACATGTGAGAATTAAGTACTTGGAGATAGTCACAGACATGTGCTATTAAAACAACTAGGAATGCAGAGCCTATAAACCATAGACTGAAACACTGAGGGACCATGGGATGAGGGGAGTGAAGAGGAGTGGATGCTACGCTGTCATGAAATTACAGTAAATCACAGATTAACTCTTCACTTCAGAAAACATTTAGCTAATGTGTAAAGAAAAATCCATAGTATACTGGACTGACAATTTACATGGCTATTAATAAGATGAACAAATAATGAATCCACAATAAAACAATGATTTAACCCTTTTAATTACTGTAAGCAAGTTTGAAAACTAAAAGTTACCACTGAGTGTTGTCAATTAATCATAAGAAATGTGATGTGGCCTACTCAGTATTCAAAGGGTTAAATACTAGAAAGAAATGAACTGTACCAGTGTCAATACCACATCTGAGACTCCAAGGATTGGAGCATGGTGAAACATCACTTTCAAGTTGGATTTGGCTGAGTGTAAAATGCAGCAGTGTATTTTAAAAAATCCCAGTTTGGATTAATGTTGCAACTAAGAGTAACCTGGAGAAGCAGCATCGGTGGAGGCTTGAGCCAGGGCACAAGGCGTACAGCAGTTGCAATTTGTATACAACAACCTTGTTTCCACACCGAAACACACTGATTAATTAGTTAGAGGGGAAGTCATGCAGGAGAAATATAGTAAAGATTGACGTGACAGATTTTATTGTGTTTTACACAATAAAACCATGTGGATTGTACCATGGCAGGTTGAAGCAGAGCGAAAATGTTTTCAGTGGTTTGATTTTTCACCAGTTTACGTTCATCAAGATGGACATTGGTCTAGATTCCACTTCACACCAAGATTTTTTACAACCTTTTTAAGGAAGAGCTGAAATAAACATTGATTTCATCGGATACTGTACCTGGACAGTAACACAGAGGAGTGAGAAACACCACTGAATACCAGAAGGAAGCTCCAAATGTGAGTGTTGATTGCAGATTGGGGTGTTTTAGAAGATGTGCCTGGACCATTAAAGGAGACCCAGTATGAAAGTGATATTAGAAGTCAAAATAAGATTTGTTTACAGCTTTTGGCACCTTGTACAATGGGCATCTTTCACTGGCTTCAAAATGTGGGAGATGCAACTTGAACTATGACTTACCCCAGATCTGTGACCTCAAACGCTACTCAACCTGGCTGCTCCTTTCACTCAGGGAACACTCACCTGCTTCATGTCCCCTGCCATATCCACCCCTTCAGCCATTCTGCCCCCTCTCTCTGCAACTCCATCCTGGAGCCTCTCCAACTCACCTCCTCTCTACCTTCACCTGCTCAGGCTTGCTTGTCTGTGAACTAATCAAGGTCTGTGACATCGGCACAGAGTCAGTGGAATATTTCCAATAATCCACTCTGCACTTAGTGCTCATGGCCAGCCAGAGGAGGCCAGCACTATGAGACATTCTCCTGATGTGAAACACGCTACCGAAATATAAGTTGTATTGTATAGAGTTCCAAAAACAATAATGCTCCCAGGCCATATGTTACTGCTCTCCATTTGCTACTAATCATGTCTCTTAATTCCGCCTAAAGTGTTGCAATTCGTCTCCATACCTTCCTCTTTGACCACACCTTTGGTCACCCTCATACACCCTCCTGATCCCAACCCCTTGCTCAGGTGCAAATTCTTGCAGCTGCCATCTGTTGCAGTGATTCTGAGGAGGTTCAGCAATTTAATGAACCTTTGTGCACTGCCTTGCAGAATGGTGCTGTGCCTGCCGTCTCTCCGGCTCACCCCGTTACCAGCAGTGACAGGGCTTCCATTCAACTAACGTTTGCATAAAGCTTTTTTATAATGTTTTTGTTAGTTTTCCATCCCTTCACTTTCTTCCTGTACTTTTTCCATTTCCCTCTGCATTAATGTCTCCATTGTTTTCTCTCCCACCATCACTGGCCTCTGCCGTCTTGCTTTTCATTACACTCAACAGTTTCTACTAATCATGTGTCTTAACAACAGTTCTCTCCATCGGTTTACACTCATCACCTCTCAGCTCTATCATGACTCAAAATCAATGTTCACGTTCTCTGATTCGGTCTTCCTGTGGTGCCATCACTTCTTCTGCGCACAACACAACAGTGCCTTCCATTGTCCGGCTCACTCTGCCTGTTTTGTCCTAGCTTCTTTCACTCTCTCTGTTACTTTTCATTTCCCCCACTCCAACTTTCCTTAGCGTTCTCATTCTTTCACCTCTTCCCAAGGCTGTTAATCTCTTAGTTTCTTTCCTGGTCTTAATAGACTATTGAACAAATTAGTTAAATTGGGTCATAATTGCCCCCCACCCCACCATTTCTGCTATTTTAGATGTTTATTCCCTTCACTTGAAAGTGTTAGAAATATCTATTTGCTGAAATTTCTTCCTTTATCTAGGGTTTGGTTCAAGATTTCCAGAAAGCAGGAGTTCCTGTAGAGTACTCAGATATTGGTGAGATCAAATTAACACTTAGTGGTATGGCAATGGAAAGTAGAAGATTCAGAAGACACAAAAGTAGAAGATTGTATAGAAGTATTTCTTGATTAGACAGAAAAGTTTAACAAATGTTTCTGCAGAAAATAGAAGATAAAGAGCATCACTTTCATATGTGAGCAAGAAGTGAAGGGTGCAAGACAATCATTTTTGCAAGTAGCAAAATAAATATCATGATGGCATTTAGACAATATCAGTACTTGAAAATGCCACAATCTCAAGAAATAAGTGCAAGTTCTTTGTTTTAAGTTTATTGTGACTACATCAGAATTCAAGCAATACCTGCCAGAATCTAGTAATTGGTTGGGGGAGAGGGGTGGGGAATGATTGTGATTGAGTGTGGCCTTGCAAGGCGTGGACAGTAGGATCCTGTCAAAGAATGCAAGGCCCTTTTAAGAAGGCAGGTAACAACCAGACTCCCATACTGTATGGGAATGTAGCATAGGGATTTCAGGGGTCAATTCAGACCTGCCATCTAGGGAATTAGCAGGAGGGAATATAAAAGGGGAATAATATGTTGTCAGTAGCGTGAGGCTTAAAGTCACAAGCTGGAAGGAAGTTTGCTTATATTGTTGTGGAAGGCTGGGTTATTTTTTGGTTTACATATAGGTGTAGACTGCTGTTAAGATTGCCTCAGTTTGCCCTGACCTAGTAAAGCCCACCCGATTACATACAGCAAAATAACCAATATACAGGACTTGGAAACCTATTCTATATCTTCTTTGGCCACACAGAGGTGCTGCTGAGTACACATGAATTTTGAAAAAGTATTTTGTCAACTAAGAAACACCTCTTTCAAAACAAAGGAAAGTGTGCAATGGCTTAAAGGATATGGAAGGAATGGGAAGGGTTGAAGTATGTAATGACACAGAATGGCCTTCTGTTCCTAAACTCCAAACCTCTTTTGGCCCATGGAGGTTTTTTTTATTGGGGGTGGGGAAGGATTAAGACGGATGTTAATTAGAAAAGATGACAGTCTGTATTTGATGAAAGTTCATCACACTAAAAGGAACTTCACTGCATGACACATTGTAAGTTGCCAGAGAACAGTGACAGATGGTCCTTGCTGATATAAACACCATTCTAGTACCCAATAATCAATACCCACCAACCCTCTCCACCTTTTACATTGCTGAGACAATCGAACGTTGGTTACTTAGAATTGGATAGTTCCCATCACTGCCCCAACAGGCCAGGGGGAAACAGTTCCTCATCAACTCTGTGGTTTTAGGAGGGCGGGTGAAGAAAGCCCTTAACTCCTGGGCTCTATACCCTGTTACCTTTAAATCCTACCTAAAGACCTACCTCTTCAACTGTGTCTATGGGCACCTGCGCCTTACTCAACGTTTAACCTGGCCACTGTGCAATGTCCGAGCCCCACCGCGCTGAAGGGAGCTATATGAATGTCAGCAGTTTTTAAAAGTGATGGATGTACTTTGATCCACATATTTTTGGTCCTGGTTTTAAAACAATTTACACCTGCTATTCTGCTATCATATATATGACAAAACAAAGCCTGCATCACCCTTTTGTACGTGAAACCATGACTGATGTCCTGATTAGTAGTTGATCAGTTGATATTGTAAGCATTTAATTTGGAGTTACTAAACATTTGGGAAGCCTGCCAATATGGAATGTCAGTGTAGGTCAAACAGCCAGATTAAGTGAGAAAACTGATGTTAGATTTATGATACATTAGATTTCTAGTGAAAAGAGCAAGTAGGGCATAGCATAGCAAAGTGATTCTGATCTCCTACAGTGCACGCAGCATTCCAGCAGTCAAGACAGTTTATCAGCAGGTTATTTCCATTCAGATGAGCAGCTTTATTTTGAAGTGAAGGTTTAGCCAGATGGAGACTGCATGAATCTAAAGTTGTTATAAAGAAAGTGAGAGAGACCAGGACAGAAAGACAAAATGTAAGTTTCTCGAATTGTTGGGAGACTTTGCACTGTAAATGAGTTACCTAAGTAATATTTACAAATTCCTTAATAAAACGAGCAGCACTTTTGATTTTTAAAATTAAGGTTGTGTTAAAGCTGTCGCACTGATATCACCTGAACACTGGCATCTGAGTGCACTATATGCTAACATGGAGTATTTGTGCCTCCAAGCTCCTGACTGTCACAATCAGGTGATAGTATGATGCCATATTAGATCAATTCTTATATATAAACTGGGAACATTCTATTCTAAACCAGCACTAGTTTGTGACTGGCAACAAATCAGGAATAAATGGGGCAGATGGTGACATTATGCAGAACACTGGTTTCAGTCCACTTCTTTACACACCGATGGCATCTTTCTCAGGCACATGCCAAACAGAAAAAGCATTTACAGAAAGGAAAATAAAAGGAAAGATTGCACTGGCAGTAAGTCGTAACCAATAGATGGTTCATAGGATCACCTTATGCCAGCACTCACTTTGTATTTTTACATCAGTCGAGGCAATATGAAATTAGAAACACAAAAAACTTCATGCCACTCAGGTACCTTTCTTGGTTAAAAACATTCTAGTCTTGTTATAGGCTTTCGAGAGTCCAAACTTTGGGACAACGGCAAGAATCAAACCAAAGAAAGTGAAAACGAGGTACAAAGCGCAGTTCATGCAGAAGAGGAAGAATGCGGCAGGTCTGCAGGGAATTCTGGGCAAAAGCTGAAAGCGAAGCACTGACCTGGGCGAGGGGCACGGCCTGGAGACTTCTGCGTTGCTTCGTTCAGAGAAAACCTGTACATCGCTCGATTCTTCCATGATCCGCACCCTCTTTCCCTCTTTAGAAGATGGCTGGTTGCAGGCAGTTTCCGGCTCTGGTACTTGAATCTCAGTCACAGGCACAGCTCGAGTGGCTGGATTTGGGGGAGAAACTGAAATCTCAGCGTGTAGCTTATCTGTCTGTCTTTTTCTAGTCTCCACCAGCTTTTCAGAAGGTGGAGGAAGGCCAAGTGCAGGAGCTCCACTTGTAGGAGTCTTGTTGGCTGTTTGCTGAGCTTCTTCAGACCCCTCAACTGGAAGCTTCTCTTTCCTGCGGTTCTGTGACCGGTTCTTAAGTTCTGGAATTTGACAGTAATAATAGTAATAATGCTTGCATTTGATGTAGCGCCTTATCACGTCTTCGAGATGTTTCAAAGCGCTTCAGAATATATTGAATTGACTGAATAATTTGTGGGCGAAACGCAGCAGCCAATTGCAGTGTCCCACAAACAGTCGTGGAGTGAGTGACCAAATTCTTCTTATTTTTTTTTGAAGGGATTATTACCCCCGGACAAGTGATCCATCAATTGACTAAAAACCGGGTTCCTACTTATTGCTATGTAAATAGACACGCGTGGAGTAAGGAAACTTGCAGAACATTTTGCCCTGGTCGGGAATCAAACCCAGGTCCTCTCGCTTGCAAGGTGAGTGCTCTAACCATAAGCTACAACATCCACAAATGAGAAATAAATGCCTGCTCATGGGTTAAATTAGTAAGCAGGTGCATACCGGGCATCTCTGTAAACCAAGATTAGATAAAATCTTATGGTTTAGCACCAGGAAACTATAGAAACTAAAATTTCAAAAGGCTAATAATGTAAAAGACGCAAAGAACAAAGTCACTGGGAATCAAAAAGCAGTTGTTACCAACAATACGTATTGTGGGAGCAAAGAAAGCAACAGACAACAAGAACTTGTGTTTATATCAAAAAGGGTAGCATCAGAGTACTGAGTACTCAGTATCAATAGCAGTGCGGTTTGAAAAAGAGCTGAAAAATGGTGGTGACAACCGAAGGCACGGTTGAAGAGGAAAGTATTCAGGTATGATTTGTAGAGCGGAAAAGAGGGGGCAAGGATTGAAACAGAAAGTTCCAGAGATTTGGAGCATAGAGGCTGATAGCACAGCTGTCAACTGTGGAACAAAGGGGACGAGGCATGTGCTGAAGACATAAGCCCCTGAGCAAAGGTGTAGGGGTGAGCAGATCAGAGAGATAAGGAGATATCTGGGCAAGAAGAGATTTAAAAATGAGTGAGGATCTTGAAATCGATTTGTTGTCCAAAAGGGAGCCGGTGGAGCCTAGCAAGAACTTGGTGATGGACGTACACAGCCTGGTGAGGACACAGGCGGCAGAGTTTTAAATCATTTGGATCTATTACTGGTGGAGTTGGGGAGACAGGCTAGGAAAGCATTGGAAAAAAAATCGAGGTGGGAGGTGATGAACGAACGAATAAGACATAGGCAGGATTATAAAATTCAATACCAACTATTAATAACCAATCACCACAGCGTGCCTAATTTTTAAACCGATAAATGTTATGCTCTGTTAGCATGATATAAAGAGGTGCCACAAGGAGACTTTAAAAAGTATAATTGTTGTGTAATCATCTGGAGGCACTGGCCTTGCAGTCTCTGTACACTGTCTGGCACCTGTTAATGGTGGAATACTCCTGAGTTTATCTCAAAATCAAGTTAATGTGCATTAAGGACTTAGAAATCTAATTTAAGATACTGCAAATCAGGATAATTGTCACTTTGAGTGCTTAAAGTAGATAATGAATACTTCTGGAGTTAAGACAACCATCAATACACATGGACTGTCAGAACGTGGCGCTTATTAATCATAATTGTCCAATAGAACAGGTCTTTGCCAGCGAAGGAGATCCTAATATTCCCATACTTTTGAGAAGCTATAAATAATCCTTGCATTTCCATTTAATATGATGAGAAAGCATAATTTGGAGTCCTGTAGCTCAGTGGTTAGAGCACTCGCTTTGCAAGCGAGAGACCTGAGTTCAATTCCAGGCAGAGGGCGAAACCTTGGGCAAGTTTCCTTACTCCAACGCCTAATAATAATCCCTCCAAAACAATACAATAATAAATTGGTCATTTTCAATCTACAACTGTTTGTGGGACATTGCTGTGCGCAATTGGCTGCCGCGTTCGCCCACAAATATACAGTCAATTCACTTTACAGTATATTCTGTGAAGCGCTTTGGGACGTCCTCCCGACGTGAAAAGCGCTATATCAAATGCAAGTATTATTATTATTAAATGTGGCATTGTTCATTGCTAGTTACAAAAATGTAACAGAGACTGTTATGTATCCTACAGGAGTCCATCAGCTAACAGCTGAATAAGGAAACTTGCATTGAATAGCTTACCTTCCTTCCCCATCTTAACGTTATGGCTGGTTTGCAGGATATTGCTGGGTGCAAATTTGTTGCCACATCCGCCTTCAAACAGTCACTACACTTTACCGTAAAATCTTGTGAAGCACTTTGAGATGTCACAATGTCATGATAAGCATTATTATATACTACAAAGGAAGAAACATCTGTGAATTAGCCCAGAAAGAATGGCAGCAATGCTTTGAGAAGCCTCGATGACCTGAGAAGACGCTATATCAAATGCAAGGATTATTATTATAATGATTATAATTATAACAATTATGCAAGCTTTCCAAAAAATCATTTGAATCCCTAGATAAATCCATGAAAATAACTACCTTATATTTGCCCACAAATGATGCCAGAGGACTGGAGGGTTGGAAATGTTACTCCCCTGTACAAAAAGGGGGAGAAGGATAAACCCGGGAACTACAGGCCAGTCAGCTTAAAGTCAGAAGTAGGGAAACTTCTAGTGATGTTGACATAGTATATACGGATTTTCAAAAGGACTTTGATAAAGTGCCACATAATAGACTTGTTAGCAAAATTGAAGCCCATAGTATTAAAGGGACATGGATACAAAACTGGTTGGAAGACAGAAAGCAGAGAGCAGTGGTGAACGGTTGTTTTTCTGACTGGAGGGAAGTATACAGTGATGTCCCCCAGGGGTCAGTATTAGGACCACTGCTCTTTTTAATCCATATAAATGACCTGGATCTGGGTATAGGGAGCCCAATATCCAAGTTTGCAGATGATACAGAGCTAGGAAAAGTGGTAACCAGTGAGCAGTGAGGACACAGATTTAAGATACTTGTCAAGAGAACCAGCGGGGAGATGAGGAGAATTTTTTTCACACAGCAAGTTGTTCGGATCTGGAATGCATTGCTTGAAAGGGTGGTGGAAGCAGATTCGATAACAACTTTCAAGAGAGATGTGGATAGATATTGGGGAGGACAAATTTGCAGGACTATGGGGAGAGAGTGGGGGAATGGGATTGATTTGGTTAGCTCTTTTGAAAGAGCCGGCATATGCACGATGAGCCGAATGGCCTCCTTCTGTGCTGTATAATTCTACGATTCTAAATAGTCTTGGCATAAAATCCTGTGAAGTGCTTTAAGACTTTTTAACGCAGTGGGAAACGTTACATCAAATTCAAAGATTATTATTATTACCTTCTGGTTCATATTTCAGCTTCATCTCATCCAGTTTGATTCGAAGTTTCATGTTCTCACTCTGACATTGCTTCAGTTGTCTCTCATTGCTGTAAAGTTTACGTTCAACTTCGAGGACCCGTTGGCTCTCTGCAAGAGCTTTCATACGTTGCAAAGACAGCTCATCATTCAGAGTCTTACTCTCCTTCCTAATAAAATGGAAAGTCCAAAACAGTTTCACACATTTTGCACAAGCAGTTTACCGTCAAAAGTTTACCTCAAGTGGACTATTTTGTACCAATGTGTAATTATAGTAAAACGCCGCTAGAACACAGTAGTTGGGGCTGCTTAATCTCCAAACCCACATTATAACCACCAATAGCATGCCCGACGAGATTACCAACCCATAGCAAGCCAGTCTGTCTTCAATGTTAAACACATGTCAGACTTCTGGGACATTAGGTCAACATCAATGTCACTTCCTGTGAAAGCTCCTGACCTCACAGCACACAACCTAACCTCCTTATGGTAGCAGGTTAGCATAAGTAGTTTGATTGTGCATTGGTGGTGAGCTGCTGACTCACTGGACGTGGAGTCCTGTAGCTCAGTGGTTAGAGCGTTCGCTTTGCAAGCGAGAGACCTGAGTTCAATTCCAGGCAGGGGCGAAACCTTGGGCAAGTTTCCTTACTCCACACAGAGCCTAATAATAATCCCTCCAAAAACAATAAAATTGGTCATTTTCAATCTACGACTGTTTGTGGGACATTGCTGTGCGCAATTGGCTGCCGCGTTCGCCCACAAATATACAGTCAATTCACTTTACAGTGTGTTCTGTGAAGCGCTTTGGGACGTCCTCCAGACGTGAAAAGCGCTACATCAAATGCAAGGATTATTATTATTATTATTTGGCATGCAGGAAGCTGGCAACAATTTCTCAGGGCTTCAACCTTTAAAGCAAACCCACCTAAAATATTAATAATCCTTACATTTGATATAGCGCCTTTCACATCAGAGGGAGTCCCAAAGTGACTTGTACTGTATATTTAAAGAAAACGACCAGAAAACGACCTGACAAATCTGGTCAATCCTTGGTTTAATCAGTGTGTTTTGTTTACTATACCTGTAGCATGTTCTGATCAAACCTCCATACACTATAAAGATACTCCAATCTCAGAGAGGAGGCTTTGATTAAAACTAAAACTGTAATGAATATAAACATGTGAGAACCACTGCCCATGATCACCCTGAACCTACTTGGCATTGTTCAGTTGCAGCTTCAACAATTCAACGTAGTATTGGCTGTCGCCAAGTTCTGAAGCCTCAACCTCGTGATTCTCCACAAGATCATGATTCATCTGAAAATGACAAAAAAAATCCGACAGCTGGTTATGAAGAGCCTGCTAAGAGTCATGGAGATAATTCTACACTTTAACAATGAAGTCAGATAAACATCTACCTGGGGTTTCCCATCTTCATTGGGGATCATTTACAAAGAAGCCAGTGAATGATTGAGCCATCGCTCTAGTTGCAGCTAAGATATGTAAAAGCCAAAGAGCACATCCGGGTCCCGACAACCTCAGAATTATAGAAATTTACTGAAGACCCATCCAGTCTACACCAGCTCTTGTCCATTCAATCCCACTGCTCTGCTTACACCCATAACTGAAATATCGTCCTCAAAACTTTAATTCCAATCTTTTTAGCCTCTAAATAATTGTTTTTAAAAGAAACATGGGTTTTTATTTCACTTCATAATGTTCTTTACATAGAAGATTACAAAGAGATCCAGATTAATTCACTGAATGAGTATAAATATAAATAATGAAGAATCCTTGCATTTTATATAGCGCCTTTCACATGAGGACATCTCAAAACACTTTGCAGGATTTACAGTAAAGTGCAGTGACTGAATATTGCAGGTGAATGCGGTAATTTGCACACAGTAATGCCACACAAACAGCCATAAAGTTGATTGACCAATTTTATTTAGCTCGCCAGGAGATACTCCCTTCTCTTTTCCAATAGTGCTACAGGACATTTTAACGTTCACCTGAAAAGACCGACTGGACCTTGGTTTAACATCTCATCTGAAGAATGGTGTTCAAAATAAAAAAGGGATTTGATTAGATAGATACAAAGAAACTATTTACTCTGGTGGGGGAATCCAGAACAAGGGGACATAATCTTAAATGTCCAAAGCTAGGACATTTAGGAGTGAAATCATGAAACAATTCAAATTTTTAAGGCTGAGATTGATAGATTTTTGTTAGGTAAGGGTATTGAGGGACATAGAGCAAAGGCGGGTAAATGGATTTGCGATACAGATCAGCCATGATCTATTAGAATGGCGGAACAGGCTCAAGGGGCTGAATGGCATGGAACTCACCGTTACAAACTGGCATCAAAATATTTATGAGGAAACTTGATGCACGCATGGGGGAGTAGGAGAGGGCATTAGGAGGGGCGGGGGCTCATGTGGAGTATGAACACTGGAACGAGTTCAGATGAGTGGCCTCTTCTTGTGCAGTAAACTTCTTTGCAATTTGGATTCAAATGTTGAGTACAATACAGAGCTTCCATGCTTTTATTACCTCCTGTTTCTCTAAGCGTCTCAGTTTTACTAATAGAGCTTGAATCTCATTATTCTTCTGTGCCAGCATCGACTGCAGACGTTCCAACTGGCCAGGGTCTGAATGTGAGCCTTTCAGCTGCAACAGTGTGGCTATCTGCATCTAATGGGGAAAGAAGACAGTGTGATATAGCCAGAAAGACATGCCCATGAATGGCTTCAGCTGTTATTATTAGAGAACGGGTTGCTGCTTTAGATTTTTATTAAAGCAAATAAGAGTTTGAAAAGAAAAATAAATTCTATGCAGATCTGTGAGGCCTACAGGGTTTTGCACAAAGACGCAGCAACTATTTCTGCAGGGGAAAGACAATGAAAAATAGGGCTTTCAGGGCAGTTAGTGCACGAGAGCTACGTAAGAGATCATGGCTGACCTTCAGACCTAACTCTAATCTGCCCTGTCCCCATATCCCTCTATTTTTTAAAAATCTATCAGTCTCTTCAAGGCTGAGACGGATAGATTTTTAAAAAAAATAGAGGGATTAGGGGATATGGGGATAGGGCAGGTAATCAGAGTTAGGTCTGAAGATCAGCCATGATCTGATCGAATGGCGGGGCAGGCTCGAGGGCCCGAATGGCCTACTCCTGCTCCTAATTCTTATGTTCTAAAAGCAAAATAAAGCAAGTACACAGATACCCGCATACAGAGACTCATGATCGGCACTGGAGGAGGTTTGTAAGTGCTGTGCCGGTCAGCAGTGAGAACCTGCTTACTAATAATAATAATCCTTGCATTTGATATAGCGCTTTTCACGTCGGGAGGACGTCCCAAAGCGCTTCACAGAACACACTGTAAATTGAATTTACTGTATATTTGTGGGCGAACGCGGCAGACAATTACGCACAGCAATGTCCCACAAACAGTCGTAGATTGAAAATGACCAATTTATTATTGTTTTTGGTTTTGGAGGGATTATTATTAGGCTCTGTGTGGAGTAAGGAAACTTGCCCAAGGTTTCGCCCTCTGCCTGGAATTGAACCCAGGTCTCTCGCTTGCAAAGCGAGTGCTCTAACCACTGAGCTACAGGACTCCACTGATCTCTTTGTTCTTTCTGCACATTCATTAAGTAAACTTTTGTTTACTTAAGTTCAGCAATTTTGTTTAGAATAACTGTATAGTAAATGTGGGGTATAGATATTTTAAGGAAATCACAGAAAGCTGCAGTCAAAACATTCAGATCATTTCTCAGGAGAAGAAATTAACATCTTGACTGAAAAGAAATGGTTATCATGAATTATATTAAAAAAAGCGCAACACAAGTCAGTTTAAGATTCGAAGGGTCATGGACCCGAAACGTTGACTCACTTTCCTTTCTCCATAGCTGCTGCCTGACCTGCTAAGTGTTCCCAGCGACTTCTGTTTTTGTTTCAGATTTCCAACATCTGCAGTATTTTGCGTTCAGTTTAAGCTTTACTGGGGAGAGTCTGAGGACTGAGGCTAGATTTCAGACCGTACCTTCATTCTGTGGAGCTGCTGGCGGGAGAATGCGTGCTGTTTCTGCAATGACTGATATTGGACTCTCATACCAATCAGTTGTCGTTCCATCATTGCCCTACGATCTTCTACCTACATCAAGAGGAAAGAAGCAAACAACAAGGGTTTGTTGAGTAAACCAACCATTAAGTAGGTACCATTTCCATACAAACCAAGAAGCTATTTTGTTCCGGGAACCCAAAGGTTACTTTGGGTCATCGCGTGGGATCATCAGTGGTCTCTGATAACATCCAAGGATGTTTAATTTTAAATGAAAAAATGGCACTTAGTTAGCTGTATACAATTCTGCTCTTAGCTTCATTATGTGAGCACACACTGACACTGTCAATATGAAGATATTCTAGTCACAAGGCTCATAGGCATTAAACCACAGGTGTAGAAGATTTATGAATTCAAATCATTCTTAATCAGGTCTGAACTGGCTACAAAGTGACTTACATGGTCTTGCAATGGAATATCAGAGTCAATCCTCTGTGACAGTCTCTAGTCTAGTTTCTGAGCCCGGCAGGTCCGCAGTACTCCAGAGTACTGCTGATGGCAGCCTAGCCTATGAGCAGAATTGGGTGTGGCAGACCAATCAGTGGGGTCAGAGAATCTTCCCACTCAGCTCCTGGTAAATCTGCAAACCAAAGCTCTAACACATAGAGTGTGCTATACAGCCAAGTCGTGGGAAGCTTGCCGCACAATGAAGTTAGGCGGTTTTAGCTGATTAGACTCCAGCATACACCAACACACACTCTGGAGATCCCCAAGACTTGGCTCTGGAAAAAACACCAGTCATTTCTCTATACGAATGCTTTTAGGAACTCATACAGAAGGTCATGATCCCAGAACTGAGAGGTTATACCTATCAGGAAAGGCTGAACATACTTGGACTCTTTTCTCTTGAAGAGGGTAAGGGGTGACCTGATAGAGGTCTTTAAAATGATGGAAGGTTTTGATAGGGTAGACGTAGGGAAGATGTTTCACTTGTGGGGAGATCAAAACCAGGGGACATTAATATAAAATAGTCACAAATAGATCAATAGGGAAGTTAGAAGAAATTACTTCACACAGAGAGTAGTGGGAATGTGGAACATGTTACCACAAGGAGTTGTTGAGGCAAATAGGATAGATGTATTTAAAGGAAAGCTGATAGGTACATAAGGAGAAAGGAATAGAAGGTTATGCTTGAAGGCTTAGCTGAGGAAGGGCAGGAGAAGGCTCATGTGGAGCAGAAACACCAGCATAGACCATTTGGACCAAATGGCCTGTTTCTGTGCTGTATATTCTAATGTATTCTAATGTCATAAGAAGGACCTGACAAAAAGTTATCGACCTGAAACATTAACTAATTTTCCTCTCTCCATAGCTGCTGCCTGACCTGCTGCGACTTCTGTTTTTATTTCATAAGAAGGAGTCTGTTACCAATATAAAGGAGATTTACACCAACAGTTGTAGAATAGCGACTGGCTACCCACTCCTGGGAAATAGCTCCGGTACCTCTGCAAACAGTGAGTTCCCTTTACTGTTGGGGTTTTGAGCATCTTGTAAGGTCTGGTCCAACTGAATCTGCAGCTCCTGATTAACAACTCGTGCTTTCTGGATTTGGAAACAAAATATTTGGATCACTGGACAAATCACACAAATAACATTTTAAAAATGTTTATACATACAAATACACGAATATTCTTCTGTTCATTAAACTGGAGAGTAAATATTTCACTGGGTGTTGTGTTCTTATTGCAGCACCTCCTTAAGGACCAGGTTCTCACCTGATATTCATGCTTGAAGCTCATTTTAGACACAATCCGCACCAAACTCTACAATGACCATCAGCCCAATCCTCGCCAGACTCAGTTAAAGGTTATCACCTTCACATCCGCAACATTGCCCGGCTCCGGCACTGCCCCACCTCTCAGGCCACCGAAACCCTCATCCACGCATACATCACATCTAGGCTCGAAAATGCCAGCTCCCTGATTGTCAGCCTTCCCAACTGTTCCCTCCACAAGCTGCAGATCATCCAGAACTCCGCAGCTCGAGTCCTCTCCTGCATCAGGCTCAGTGACCCTGTCACTTCCACCTTTGCCCAGCTCCATTGGCTCCTCATCCCCAGAGGACAGAGTCCAAAATCTTACACTCCACCCTCCCTGATCCCGATCCTCAGCTCAGGCCCAAATCCCTGACTGTCCAGCGTCTTGGGACGTCCTCTCGACGTAAAAAGCGCTATGCAAATGTAATTTTGTATTGTATATAAATCCCTCTATGCCCTGGCATCTCACCATCTCTCTAATCTCTGCATACCCCAACCTTCTACCCCCATTACGCCAGTCATAATGGCTCTAGCCTTTGGAACTCTCCACTGTGCCCCTTCTCTATTCATGTTCACCTCCCACCATAAAACCTACCTCTTTGACCATTCCTATAATCATCTATCTTCCCCTACCCCCAGCCCCAGCTCAACATCCAACTCAGCTGTACTGAAGGACTCCAAGACGTTATCCTACATGAAGAGTGCAGGGCACTATATGCTGTAAGTTGTAGTTGATTTGATTCAGGAGTTTGGGCAATAAACAAATGTTGAAGTACCAGGCTGTGAACCCACCTCCAGTGAGTTGCTGTATGAAACTGCCTCCTTCTCTTGATCCTCCTTTTCCTCTTCCAGTCTCTCCACGTGACGTCTCAAATTACCATTAGCCAGTTCCAGCTGCTCGTGACGATAAACCATTTCATTATATTCTTCCTGCAGCTTGACCTGCAACCAGACACACCAGACTCGGCAAAGGGTTTCAAACCAAGGATCCTGCGATAGTGCTAGACATCCCTGACTTTGGTAGGATGCAATACATTGATCGTCAGAACTGATAAGAATAAGGGTGGCATGTCAAGTAAGTGTGTCCACACAAAGTACCATAAGGTAGGTTACAAGTGAGCATTACAGTCTCAGACATGTCATTGTATGTAGAAGTGAAACAAGAGCCCTATCTATGGGGGAACAACCGAGGATGCCACCTGTAGTAGTCAGTTATGGATTAGCAATAAGAGTTATTATAAACAGGAGGTTTCAATGAAATTCTTCAGCCCATTCGATTTAGTTGTCCCAGACTACCCAGCCATTACAGTATCAGGACAGTTCTTAAAATGCCACTGTATCCTTTGGTAAAATGATCCAGTACAGGGAGAGCATAGACTTAAAATCGGAGCCAAGAGTTAGAGCTGAGGTCAGAAAGCATTTCTTGACCCAGATGGTTGTGAAGATGGGAATGTTCCTCCACAGAAAGCTTAGCAGCAGAATCAACAGGGATATTTAAGAGTGAGATAGGTAGATACTTGGGTAAAAGAGGTATAAAGGGGTATTGCGAAAGGTTAGGGCATTAGGATTAAAAGATCTGCCAAGATCTAATAAACTGGCGAAAAAATATGATAGGTTGAGCCACTCTGAACTAGATTCAATAAAATGAGTGAACACAAACAAGGATAGAAATATTCCAAACTTCACACCTTCACAGCTTCGAGTTCCATGTTCTCCACTTGAAGACTCATCACTTCTGATGACATGGTTTCTTGAGCACGCTCAGACAAGCTTCGCAACTCTTCACTCTTGGAAATGAGCAGGTCATTCTGGTGTTTGAGTTTGTGCCTGAGCTGTTTCTCACAGAGCTGAGCTTCGTCCAGATCAAACTTCAACTTCTCCATCTAGTAATACGTGGACACGCACATTCACAAACAGCCCAAAGAGGCATTTAGCACAGTCAGATTTATTTTTAATATAAATTTCAGAGTTGAATAATGGGAGTAAAGGACATAACAATTCTGCAGCTTAAACCATATGTTTTCTCAGTGTGGAAAGACACTACTTTAATTTAACAATTGAAAAACACAAGCCGACAAGAATTGTGAATGTTCAGACTGGTGGATGGGCTTCTCAGCTATCTCTCCCCCAAGATGCATCCATCACTCTACAATACTGTTGGGTTGTGCGCAGGGATGCACTGCACGCTGGAACAAAATCATCTCAGTAATCTTAACCTCTTCCAGCAAAACTCCAGCACAACGGAGGAGAAAATCACCACATCTTTAAGAAGTTACAAATTCTTCCAACAATACAGTAAACACGATAAAAAGGTACACACTGAACAGCCAAGGTCTGTATCTGGACTTTCAAGGCTCAAATGGGGTTGTTACTGCAGCGAAGAGCAGATCATTACCAGCCTGCAGAACAACTTGAACATTCACACTGCTGGCTTGTGGATCAAGCAGAGCCACTGCCCGCACTCCTTGCTCTCTAACCTCAGACCCACCTACTCTAAATCAATAATAATAATCCTTTCATTTGGTATAGTAATAATAATCATTTACATTTAATATGCAAATGGCGGATGGAGAGCGGGGGGGGGGGGCGGATGGAGAGCGGGGGGGGGGGGGGATGGGGAGCGGGGGGGGGGGCGGATGGGGAGCGGGGGGGGGCGGATGGGGAGCGGGGGGGGGGGCGGATGGGAGCGGGGGGGGGCGGATGGAGAGCGGGGTGGAGCAGAGAAGGTTACGAGGAGACCTAATAGAGGTCTTCAAAATCATGAGGGGATTTGATAGGTTAGAAAGGGAAAAACTGTTTCTCTCTCGATCCACCCCCCTCTCTCGCTCTCGATCCACCCCCCTCTCTCGCTCTCGATCCACCCCCCTCTCTCGCTCTCGATCCACCCCCCTCTCTCGCTCTCGATCCACCCCCCTCTCTCCCTCTCCATCCAGCCCCCTCCCTCCCTCGCTCTCCATCCAGCCCCCTCCCTCCCTCGCTCTCCATCCAGCCCCCTCCCTCCCTCGCTCTCCATCCAGCCCCTCCTCCCTCGCTCTCGATCCACCCCCCTCCTCCTCGCTCTCGATCCACCCCCTCCCTCCCGCTCTCGATCCACCCCTCCTCCTCGCTCCATCCAGCCCTCCCCTCCCTCGCTCTCGATCCAGCCCCCTCCTCCCTCCTCTGGAATCCAGCCCCCTCCCTCCCTCCTCTGGATCCAGCCCCCTCCTCCTCGCTCTCCATCCGCCCCCCCCCTCGCTCTCCATCCGCCCCCCCCCGCTCTCCATCCGCCCCCCCCTCTCCATCGCTCTCCATCCGCCCCCTCCCCCCCGCTCTCCATCCAGCCCTCCCTCCCTCGCTCCCATCCAGCCCCCTCCTCTCCATCCCCCCTCCCTCCCTCGCTCTCATGCCCCCTCCCTCCCTCCTCTCGATCCAGCCCCTCCCTCCCTC